ACTCCTCCAGCAGCTATCTTAGAGTCAGCAGTGTGGGGAAAGGGAAAGACTAAGGGGCTTGGCTATACAGTATACAGGCATATTAGCTTTTCTACAGGCAACCCCTAGACATTCGCACCTATTTTCCTCCAAACCTCTGATCAGCCCTTTCCATAGGCTGTAGTTCTAAAACCATACCAAAATATCATCTTGAATATCCTACAAGTTATCCTGGTTATCCTATACTCACTCACCTCTCTGCTCACTTTCCCTTCTTTCTTGCATCAGTATTCACCTGATCATTTTTGAGCTTATGAATGCAATTTGCACAAGTTTTCATTGCTTTTCTTCAGTTTGAGCTAATTAAAAGCACAAGGACTCCACTGAGAACCAACAGTGGTACAAACAAGGGAATGAAGACAGCCACAAACAGGCTACGATCATAGCAGGACCAACCAATTACGTAGTTAAGCGTGGTAAGTTAATTTATTACTTAGTCATGTTTGAGACAGATTTCAACCTACCTTTCCAGGTGGTAAATCCTCTAATAGACTGGTCTGCTAAGTCATGTATAGCAATTGTACCTGTCATCAGAGCACAATGTGGAGAGGCAGCAAAACATTCAAGTAAAGTTCTTCACTGTACTCTTCTGCTTCTGGGAGCCTGATCCTCCCTGCAGCAGATGTTTTAAGAGAGGCCTCAAACAGCAAACAAATAATGATGACTGCCATGGCCCCAAGATCAGTATCCTTTGCAAATCTCAGCTCATCCTTTCAGTCCTCAATGAGATCAAGATCTTGTCCTCGTTTGTATTAGTAATTATTGTGGTGCTGGTCTACTGTATATGTAGAAATTGGATTCTTTTACTCTGAGTAAGTACTTAAATTTCTGCTAGTCTTTTTTTTTTTTTTTCAAATACAATTACAAAATGTCTATAAACTCTGATGACAAAGAATGGAGCCAACAGGCAATATTCTCAACTCTAAAGGTTAATGATACCATTGAAATGAATGACTTTTCAGTCTGGGATCACAAGAGTGAGATTCTCTCACTGTAGAATCTAGTAATTCAATTGAAAAACAGTCTTGGAACAAGTTATCTCAAGTTACAGATGCTAAATTAACTCTCATTTAGAGATATCTGGAACCAGAGTCTTGAAATGCTCCTGAAGCCACATAAAAGGAAAAAAAGTCACCAAAAGTACTGCTGTCTACTACAGTATTACAAATGCACTTAATAAATAGCATATTACAGTGGTGACACCAACTTGTACAGGTATACCTGAGAAAGTACTTTGAACTAGTGTGGAGGCTGTTAGCAAGGTAATTATAATACCTATCACAGCTCCAAATTAGCTCCAGTTTGTGGAAAGTTTCAGCAGTTTTTTCTGAACACTCTGCTGCTGTAACTGTCAACTGGCAGTTCTCAAGAAAGAAACATCCTGCATGCATTTAACTATTTTTGGTTTTCAGATATAAGATTGTGCTGTGCATGCATCACAAGGATAAAATCACACTGCAATAAAAAACAAAAAACACATCAGTCAAGGTTCCAAATCCTTGATGCCTACACTTAAAACTTATTGTTTTTTTGTTTTTTTTTTTAGCAATACTTATTCACTTCATGACAGTGACTCATCTTGCCACTATGTTTCACAAAGCCATTAGGTTCCCAAACAACCACATTCCATTCCAAACTACTCCCACCCCACTGCAAAATACAGCATGTTTACACTTTCAAGTCCACGTTCAGCATGCAAGTGTGAGTTCAATATTACGAGTAATGGCCCCCGGGTCTCACATTTGAAGCTGTCAATATTAAATACAACATTTATTTTCCACTTCAAAAATAAATGACAACAATGCACAGAAACTGCGTTTTTTCATGACAGAATTTTTTCTTGAGAGGTGGACACTCCTAAGATGAGAACTAGAACTTCACTATTGAAGACTGACAAAATTCCAAGTGTTAGGTAAGACAGCATGACCAACTACCACAGACTTGAAGCCTGTTTTTATACGGGAAAGCCCCAACAGATACCAGGAGCAGTGGAGTAGATTCAGTGGACAGCCTACACTTGTCTCTTCAATGTGATACAAACTTACAGGCATACCAGGAGATACTGTGCATAGAAAATCACCATTTTTTCTTCCCTTTTGCCACTACAAACATTACAAAACAAACATTTTACATCCCATTATTTACTCATCCAAACTGAATTTTCAACAATGGCTCTTCCATATTGCAGGAAGGGTTTACACTGCTTGCTACTTCAACTAACGGCAAAAATAGCAGAGCAACACAGCAATAGGAGATACTGATCTTCTGAACATAGCAGGGATTGGAACAGAAGGAACAGGAATACCTTGACTATCTTCTCCAAAAACAGACTGATTTAGCAGAAAAATGGCTTTTACACATTATAAAATTAACCCCAGAGAGCCCTTTATAAACAAATTTAGAGTGTGCCCGTGAACAAAGAATGCAACCAAACTACTGTAAAAACTTCAATGAAAATGTAATGCAATATAACCTCCCTTTCATAAGGAACAGAACTCTCTGCAGTCCCTAAACAGAAAAGAAAAAAAGTAGTCCTAACCAATGCCTTTTTCTCCTCTCCACCTGATGACCAGAAGGCTTGAGCTACATTCTGAACTGTTTACCCATGAATAGTTATCAAAACAGTTCTTTACAGTTCACATAAGATTTGTAGTGGAATAACTGAATTTCCTGTGTAAACAAGCCTACAGGCTTCTTTTAAAGGCTGGAGCAGATGCTTAACAAGTATTAAATGTGTTTTTAATCATCAGTAAACTTTGCTTTGACTGAAACTTAAATCCAGTGTCCTTTTAATGCAGTACAAGAATGAAAATATATTTCTATTTTTAGTAACTCAGTTTCTGAAAAATGGCTAAAAACATCTTGTTTCAGCTGCTAAGACTGGTGCCAGCAGAAATAAAAGCTTTAACAATTTTCATCAGAATGACGACTTTTGTAATTCTAGGTGTTTAATGGCAGGTGGGTCAAACTAATTTCAAGAAGGTAACACGTTAACTTCAAATTGCTGAAACTCTGTGACTGCTTAAGAATCTTATCTTTCTGATCATTAAATGCTCCTTAATGTATATTTCGCTTCATTAAAATAAAGCTCGATTCTATAATGAAACAGTTATTTATAGAGAAACCTGACAAGGGAGATCCTAATTTTTAGGAATGAGGAAGAAGGTTCAAGTTTTTTTCCATAAATTTTATCTCTGGGAGAAATTCTGGTGATCCTCTCTATACTGCTCCATGCACAAGAAATTCTACATAGAACAGAAGGTTCAGAATGGAATGTAAGCCTGATGTTGTCACAGTTATACATATTTTCTTCTTAAAGCTTGTAGATCACTCAGATGTGAAACAGGTACAGGCAACTCTTGGCAAAAAGATTTATGTTAACTCAAGTACTCCTTGTTTTCTCCCCATTTGATGTATGTTTTCCAAAAGCTAGTAATCAACAGAAAAACCAGACACAGAACAGAAATACTGCTTTTATACTAAATGGCTGCTCAATCTGACCTGTAAAGGTTGTTAAAAAAACCAACAAAAATATATCCACTAAAAACAATTACGCTACTACAATAAATTCTCTGCTCAGCAGCATCTGGAGATGACCACAGCCAACTTGTTAGAATGTTGTTTTGTCCCTTTAGGTCAACAGGATTTAAAAGCCCTTCCACAAATTGTTTTTGCACTACTCTTCACTACTGCCTTATTAAATGTTTAAAGTATTACTAATTGTATAAAATGTTTACTCCTGTGGTGTTGGAGTTAGGGTGCAACACTATCAACACCAATGCTCCCTACTGTAGGAAATCATCAGAATTTTTTGCTTCAGTCTCTAATTAATCAATTTCTAAAAGTTGTCTCCCAGAGAAAAGAAACCATGGCTGGAGAATGATGCCTGAGACTGACACTGTTAATCTTACAGAGACCACACTACAACAGGAATGCCTTAGTAAGAGTCAAGAGGAAGATAAGAGTTCTTCAGCCACAGCCAAATCTTTAGAATTAGTAAACATTCATTTAGGAGTGCATTACAGACCAACAGAAGTGACTAAACATTGTATGCATATTCGTGAACATTATCTAGGAAAGATGTATTCTTTAGAAAAATATTCTAAATGATTTTTGGCATACAAACTTTCTCGAGAAACTTGCAACAAATCCTCTGAAAAAGAAAAAATTTTACAGAGGAAAGAGTTTGAATTGCTTCTGACCCGAAGCTATCTGCTGTTCATAATGTTTTGGTGCCAGTAGGTTCACAAGGAAGAAGCAGCAGGAACAAGAGATTTTTTTTTTTTTAATCTTCCCATTATTAAGCAGCAGGTTTAAAGAAAAAACAACCTACACAAAAAATGGATCACTTTCCTCAAGTACAATGATTAAACTACAGAAAACAGCATCACAGGATTTTGTCACAACTGAAACAAAGCAAGAGTGATATGAACCTGATGTGTTAAAAAAACACATCTGAAAAATGCTCAAAATACATCATTGGGAATACATGCTAAAGAGATAATCACATGTATAGTGCTTATTGCACCAAACCCCATAATGTATAAGGGCTGCATTCACATTGGATGCAAGACAGATCAGCCTCATGCCTCACTAGAACATTTCCATGTCTCCTAGTTCTCCGCTCCACAGGCTAAACTAATGGATATTTGGGGTAAAACTTGTCTTCAATGTTCTGAGAGTGTTATCCCCAGTTTGGATGATATAATCCTTCAGCATTTAAACTCTTACTTATGAAGTTCTTAGACCCACATAATAATATTAGAAAATAATTAGAGGACCACCTTGTTCTCAGAACAGAAAGCATAAGAAGAAACTGTCACATGGCTTCGAAATACTATAAGCTTCCTGACAGAGAAACACAGGAATTAGTAACTAGATTTATTCAGTTGTGTTTGATATTTGCCAGTACTCGGAGATTCTCAACTTTTCTCAGGATTTGACTTGAGCTATGAACTTACAAATGCTGAAGGCAAGAAAAGGACTCCAAGTTCATATGAACGGATCATCAATTGGGTGCCATTTTTCTCCAGAGCTCCCCATGCTGCTTTAGATAGATTGGCACTGCAAAGAGAAAGCATTTCAGTAAGGCATACCCTTCACAGCAGAAAATACTGAAGCTGTAGCAATGCGCTTCTGGCAGGAGGATTTTTACTTCAAATCACATTAGTTTTTAATGAAAGTAATTTGAGTATTATTCCTAACTGTTATTTTTACAGCAGATTGGAAACAGCAGAGGCAATGCTCAGAAGGACATCGATAGAACACATGAAAAATTATACAAGCTTGCTCATATCATACAGATCTATAAAGAAAAGGTCAGCCTTTTGAATCTACTCTGCACATTTCAGATAGAAACTCAATATTGGTAAATGCTTCAGTGTGATAACATTAAAAAATAAAAGGCTAGCTAAATTATGACTAGTTATAAGACATTTAGTATAGAACATTTTTGCAAGTGCTAAACAGAACAAAAGGCTAAGAGCAAGAGATATTTTGATACATTTATAAACAAATATCAAACAAGCTTATCTTTGTTTTGGATGGATTAGCACAATGTCATTGTTAATCCTTCATTACTATCTACTACAAAGTAGATAAAGTTGGCATCAAAAAATGCAAAAGTTCTCAAAACTGACTTCTATGGAATAATATCAGGTCTGAACAATACATTTTAACCAAAAGGCATGCTGAATATTTTCTAATAGCAGCATGTGGTGGGAGAGAAAAAAAGTCAAACCAACAATGAATTTCTGCATTAGGTGAAGAAGCATCACATTTGAATGATTTACATACTTTACCAATCACCTTAACTGCTACTATTGTAGACAACAGCATCAACAAGCAATGAAATTTAAAAAACCAAAGTAAAAAAAGATTGAGTAACTGAACATTTAAAGAAAACATACAAACACGATAAGCTGCTGTTTTGGGGTTATACAAAAACCCCTGCTCATAGAACTGAAATCTACCTTTTCATTGGCAATAACAAAACCTTCCCTTGTATCAAGGAATTACTCGCTGATCCTTTCGACTTCTTTAAAAAAGAAACAGAAAACTAGCAGATGGAAGTATAGACTGAAAACATCCATACTTCAAGCGAGACTGCTGCACAACTTAATCTGATAAAAGGTCAGACACCAAATATCAGCTATCTATATGTTTTATAGCAAAAAGGCAGCACAAGCATAAACTAAGCCTCAACTTATTCTATTTTGTTGCAGTCAATGAACAAACTGGTGTATCCAACATCAATCCACAAACACTGTGTATTAAGGAACATCAGCCAAAGGTTTAGGAAGTTTTTATTACTTCAGTTGATGCTGGACCCTGAAATTGGAAGTTAAAGCCCAGAGAAGATTATGGAGCCATTGCCAAGGGTTTTTGAGGTCATAATTTCAATGTGCAGCCCCAAAAGACTAAAAGAGATGCCTTAAGGGTACTGATAAAAAAAGATAAAACAATTTTTGCACTATATCAAGCCCTGGTGCATCATGTCTCACGTTCTGTGTGCAGTACTGTTTTACACAGCTTCACGAGAACACATGGAGTTTAGAAGTAGAAAAAGGCAACTGAAGTGTTTAAGAAGTTGAGGTTGATTTTTTTCAGGAAGCCAAGTTTAAAGCAACAGAAACTTCAGTTTGGGGAAAATGGACTAAGGTAGAGCCTAAGTTGACAGAAGTCATTAAAGGAGCAGATATGAGTGTAAAATTGGTATTTCCCCAATCTGAGCAAACGCAACACAACGAACTGCAAAAAATGGTTAAACTCAGGTGCTCTTTGCAAATAACACTTCCTTTTTGCTGTCACAGCAGAAAGAACTCTACTGGGTTAGTCCAATTGTGAAGCTGAAGAACAGAAATCCCTCTCACATCCAGGTTACTTGATAATTCAATTGTAAAAACTGTAACACCTCCTCAAAAGGAAGAGAAGGATTTGCTTTGTGTACTTAGCGCACTTATTTTGTGATAACAATTTTTTTACTTCTAATTACAAGGTCACCTGACTGAAGAGATAAATAAACCCCAAAAAATGAACTACATGTAATAGGAGCAAACAACTACTCCTTCAGCCTACCTACCCCTGCCCTTCTACACCTTTCTCCTCTTTGAGTTTCTGAAAGCACAGCAGCATACAGAACAAGGTCGTATCATGTCACTCTGCATGCTCAAATACAGACTTGCAGAAAGATAAAGAAACAATAAAAGTAGCACCCAGGATACAGGCATAAGATTTATTTCCTTCTGCTGATCTACTATTAAGAAATTAATTTAAAGTGTTTCTTGCAAACTTTCTACATATTTAAAATTAAGTACTTTCTGCCAAGAAAGACCTAAGTCAAAACATCTCCCACATTTAAATTCTCAGAATTATTTGTTACTTAGAAAAGCTAGACTGCTTTATTTATTAAGCATTTTTCTAATGGAAAATTTCTATTGTTAAGCTATGGATGTGCGTGTGTATGTGTATACATGCTTACACATGTGCATATGCACACACACATTATGTATATGTACGCACACTTCTTTTGGCCCTACTTTTTAAGGTCCGTTCAGTTTCCACTGAAAGTTTCATTTAAATCTGCAGGAAAAGGATCTAAAGACTTTCTACAGAAGGTCTCCAAAATTGAAATGAAGCAGGAAATGTAGACGAATTTTTTACACTACTTACAGTATTGTGAAGATTATGGCAGTAACTTACCTGTGCCTGCAATTGATGAGAACTTTTTCTTTCTTTTAAACATAAAATGAGAAGTGTATAATTAGTTATTTACCTTGTAACTAAAAACCATGCAATCTTCTGGAAGTCATGAGAAGGTCTCATGTATGTCTTGATGTGAGGCATGGCATGACTTCGACCAGAGACTTCTGCTGACCATTTGCTAGAAATAGAAAAGGAATGTTTTTCAGATTTCTTTGTTATACAACAATATATATACATATAAAATGTAAAACAAGAATAACCTTCTTCCTCCTCCCCCCAGTGTGCACAAAGAACATGGCACATAATGCCATGTTCTCTGATAATGCTATACTTCTATACTACGTTTAATACTTGTGTACCCCACAAAAAGGCTAAAAATACTTTACTTTTTAGTATTTAAATTTAAGTATTTAAATACTTGAAGCCAGAGAAAATTCTTCTTCTTAAAAAAAAAACATTTCCAGTGTATAAGGAACCCCTAACAAGTTTTCCATTCCACCTTTCCAGCTTTCAAGAAACCAAGTCCAAACTTCCAACCAATTTTCCTTCTTTGAAAATGATAAATGCTTACGCCTTGAAGCAAATGAGCTTTGTCTTGGCACCAAACTAACCCTTCCAGAATTCCCCAAACTTATTACAATGTATTTATAAATGAAGGACAGGCACAGAGCAGACTGTTGACACTACTCTTCTGCTTCCCTTTCATGTGCCCCTAAGCCACAGAGAAACTCGAGGTCTTAAGGCAGCAGAGGTCATACATAAACCAGTTTAAACAACATGCCATTGCTGGAGTATTACAACATTAACGTTACTGAACTAAACTGCAAACAATCAGTAAACAATAAATGAATGTATAGAACTGAAGGTGTGTAACCATGGTAACTATAAGCACTTTTACCTGCAACCATTAAGTCCTTGCTTAAAAATATGGAAGTGAGAGGACTTCTAAATACACCTACATCAAATCAGAGACTTGCCTTCCCTGGATTTGTGGCTGAGCATGTTATGTTCCAATCTCGTTTCCCTAATTTAGCTTTCTTTTCTAAAAATCAAGATCAAGAAGAGTTTATCAGCTCTGGAAAACATCGAGTGAACTGTGTTCACCTAAAGGCCTAAGAAGATTCAAGAAGAGGAATTATTTATTTTCTGAGGCCGACTTCAAGAACTAATTTACACACGTGTATATATTGCTCATATGGATGTATGTATGTGTTTGATGTTTGTCTCACTAATATATGTAACTGTCAAATATAATTATTCAGATGCTTTCAGTAAAATAACTGCTAAAGATATCTTTTCACTTCAGCCTAAAAGCAAGCATCTCTCTGAACTGTGTAACAGAGTGACAAAAGAAACTAGAAGGTGTTTCAAACAAGCATAACATCTGACATTTAATAAAGCTAAATTTCAACTTCATCACAAAACTGTGCAGTTGTGTTTTAGAAAAAAAAAGATCACAGAAGGCCTGAAGATACAAGATCAGTTGTTTTGCACAATATAGAGCACATAATAACAAAGTCAGGCTTGTTCAAGTCAAATTGACTTGATGTGTTTAAAACTGTGAACTTTTCATCAGTGTAGCTAGCAGAGGATTTTCAAAGTACCAAGCTCATGTTGCAGTAAATTTTGAGTGGATTCAGACTCACAAAGTTCAGTTCACTATAAATACAGTAAGTTTAAATGAAACTAGCTTTGAGAAATTTTATGGAGCAAAACCACAGCTTACATCAGTTATCCTAGTGACAGATGGGTCACAGAATCACGTAAACCAAAGGCCCAAGTGTGGAGTGATGAAAAGGAGTTACATATCAAAATCAACTACTTGAGCAGTAAGATGTGCTAGCTTTTTAAAATTCTTTTACACTTCTATGACAAGAGCTCCTTATCACTAACACATCTTAACTGACTTTCTACCTTAAGATACTGACAAGATGGCTTAACTACAGTTATGAGAACTCACAGCATTAATCCCCACAATAATAGCACTGCAGGCCCCCTGAGCAGTTTCAAAGTCTTGAAAATAAAGACTTGACAAGCAAACCGTATAAACATTTAAAAATGTCAATCATTAGAATAAGCATTAAAATACAATGGTTTATGTTAAGACTGATCAACTGCTTCAAAAAAGTAACAATTAACAAATCACTGATGATTATATTTCTCTCCTTTTCAATGGATAATATTGAAAGGAAAAAAAGTGGCTCTACCACAGAAAAAAATATATATATATACCACTTACACAATAGCTAATTTAACAAAGAAGTCTAGCATTCGTTTGCTAGATGTTGCTATTTGCTTGCTATTGTAAGAAAAGTGAAATCAGTACTACGTTGGGTTCTCGTTCTTTTGAGAAATTACTTCCAAGAAATCACAATTCAGAGCTGCACTCCAGGTTAGATACACTCAACTATCAGAGTTAGAAAAAGCCTGCAGACAGGACAAGATTCACATATCTGGGAAAGAGTTTCTGCCTTTTTAGGTGAGAATATAGACCACCATTATCCTACTCTGTAAATCCCTCTCTCCTTCTGAAAAGGAGATACCCCTTCTCCCTTTCTTTAAGCATAAAATATTTCTCCTCTTTTAACCCTGGCAGGCCCTCTCATTTCTTAAGTTTTGTATTATTTTCCAACAAGCTAGACAAATTCCTCTATTCTCTTTGCTTCTGGAAGTCCTGTTACTATACCAAGCTCATCTTGTATTTAATACTACTGAAACAGGACCAACCATTGTCTGTCTCTCCCAGACTACCGTAGATAAGAAACACAGGATATGTTAACAACTTCCATGCAGGCTCTCCTCAAGGGGCAGCGTCTTGTATTATTACAGGATAAGAATATACACTTAGACTGTCACTGAAGAGCAGGTTATGCAAGGTCACTTGTCATCCACAACCAGATGGTTTTGATACAGCCTTTTTGTTGTCAGAGCAGGATATGAATATGGTCAACGAGCAGTGCTCTCACTGAGCAGAAATAAAACATAACTTGTTAATGAGATCACTCATTACATAAGAGACTTATTGAAAATATATATTTTTTTCCAGTAAGATTCTCACGAAGTATGTGCTTATCACAGAAGACACAAATTAAGGCTGGACATTGGCCAGCAATACTCACAGCAGCAATCATGCTTGCTCCAGACCAGGAGATGCTCTGGGCAACTAGCAATTGTATTCTCAACCTTCTCAATATGCATCTTTACCAAACCTGACTGTACATGAGTGTGGGTAAAGTATCTTAACAGAGCAGCTTCCACTTGGAACAGTCGCAGTTTCTGGTGAAAGGAACGGAAAGCTGTGGTCTTGTAAGAGGTTACCAGATCTTTATTTTTATTTTTTGGTTTGTGCAAAACAACTTTTCCCCATTGTTCTCAAAAACAACAACGCCACATTTTTTAAAAAATTCAGCCTGAGGGAAACATCTGGCATTGAATTTTTCAGATGTTTAGAATATGGCAAAAATTAGTAGTAAGTGAAAATAGAAGCTTTTGATGGAAAATGTCAGGCACCTTTAACAAAAGACAGTATTACCATAACTAGCTGTGAATTTTGCAGTACAACTGCAACACTTGAAACAAACAAAGCCTTCCCAACCCTGCTGTGTCTCAGCTGAACTTCTGAGAAGACTGAAGCACGAGCAGAAAAGTGAAATTCAGCTGAATTTTAAAAAAGTAACATGAATCCAATTCAGAGAAGGAAAGTATTAATAGAGGCTTATGGAATGCAAAATCTGGCAGTGTCTCCCATCAGCAACAGTACTGCATGTAATTTTTACAGTTTGGAATAAAAAAAAAAAAAAAAAGCACCTTTTGACTATACCTTGGAGATAAAAACAGATAAGGAAATAAAAGCTTTTATCTTAAGGAGTTTAATGCTACCTCAACTTCTCACCACGTTTGCTTTTAACACACAAGTACTACAAGAGCATAAGTTTAAACACATTACCTAAGAAAAATCAAAGAAGTTGCACTTACTGAAAATAGGAATGTAACCACAGCTGTTTCTGTGCTGTCTGTATGCTGTATGGAAGGGAACCACCAGCTTAAGGAGAAGAAAAAAAGATACAGTATTGCTTTTTGAGAGACATTCTGAAAGCAAGGGACTCACGAACATTATCCCTACTGTCCCCATTACTCATTTTTTGAAAACTGAAATGCTCCAGAAATATACAGTAGAATATAGCTGAATATACAGAGAAGAATTTAAAGTATTTTTACAATGGAACAAGTCCCCAAAGACTAAATAGCAAATATACACTAGAAAAAAAAGAGAACTAGTATGGAGCCTCTAGAATTAAGTCCTATTAAAATAAATATGTAGGTAATTTTTTGTTTTGACACTGCTTTTTAAAAATTAACAAATTGCAGTCACTACTCACACAAACTAGAGGGAACAAAACAAGCAGCATTAAGAAAAAAAAAACAACAAACATTCTAAAAAGCAAGAACTCTTTAGGTGAAATTGCATGTCTTGTACCTTGTCTTAGGCTAGCACATGTTGCAATTTCTCCAGCCAGTATTTAGGTCCCTCTGAGTGGCAGCATCAGTCAGCCGTTGCATCAACCACTCCTCTGATTTTCTATCATTTGCAAGCTTACTGAGAGTGTACTTCACCCATTATCCTGGTAAGAAGTTACTGAACATCTGACACCAGTATCAGTTCTTGGCACAACTACTGGATCTCCAGCAGGCCTTCATGCCACTGATCACAATATTTTAAGCCTGGCAGTTCAGGTAGTTTCCAGCCCATTTATCTAGTGTGAATTTCATCAGTTTATCTGTAAGAATGTTATATATATATATATATACACCTTCACAAAGATACTTCATCTAGAAACGACTCAGATTTAGATCCAGTGCACTCCTCTCATTCATCAAGCTTGTCAATCTCATCACAGAAGGACATAAGCTTGGCTAAGTCCAATTTTTCATTTAAAATAAAAAAATCCATGCTGACAACTCCCTATTATTTTCTTATCCACATATTTGGACATGGATTCCAGGATTGCTTACTGCATCACCTTCCTAGGGATCAATTGAAGGCTGACTGGGAGATTCCCCAGATCCTCCCCTCCTTATCTTTACTCTTCCTGAAGGCAAGAAAGAATTCCTTCCTTTCAGTCTTCAGGAGTCTTCCAATTGCCATGACCTTTTGAAGGCTAATCATCAGCAATGACATTAGACAGCTCCCTTTACTGCATCAAACAGAACATTACAGTATCTCTTTCAGGTTGACTGAGACCATGCTTTCTACACAAATGCAATGATTTAATGAAGATAAACGTAGGAAGACTGAACAGACCAACTGCACATTGCATTATAAAAAAAAAAAGGCTCATGAGCAGTAAAAAACACTGTTATAACTGATGTACACAGTGACACTGTGAAGACAACAGGAGATAAACTTGGAATAAGTACAAACTCACAAAACCTGAACATTCTGCCAAAATCAAAGTATAACTGCAATTAAAACACCGGACAAGAGCTGCATTTCCCTATATGATTATACATGAATGTGATTACACAGATTTACATGTTACATGTACACCAATACCCAGAACACTTTTTTTAATTCAAACATAATAGCACTGGAGTCAGAATCCCATTAATACAAATAGAAGAATTCTGCTGCCACCTATTCAGCCAAGTTGTCAGCAGCTTGGCAACTTAAGGTTCATTCAACAGCAATCACTGAAATGACTTTGCAAGACATTGTTACCACAAAAAGCTAATAAAATGGATTTCCTTTTGCACATCTGCTTACCAGGATAGCCTTCCAGACTTTGCCTCACATTGTTCACAGTAGGATAAACCTTCATGGAGAAAAAAGTTGTCTTTAATAACGTAGCTTTAAATGTACATGAGATTAATTTTCAAACAACAACAAAAAATCACCTTAAAGAAAACTTGTTATCAATATAATCATTAAAAGCTTCATTTTTTTCAAAAATAAAATCACACTGCAGTTTAAAGCTAGTACCTAAAAGACATACCAAATGAATTGGAACATCACATTTAAGAAGAGCTGACACACCACTGCCTGCAGCCACCAGGCTCTCCTGGAATTCTGAGCACAGCCATTTGGACCCATCTGCTCCCAGGGAACCAATGCTTGAGAACTGTCCTACAACAGGCCAAGATTCCTGTGCTGGTATTGATGAAGTATGCTCTTTCAAAAGCTATTGAGGAAAAGTAAAACATTAAGACATTCAACAAACAAAGAAAACCTTAAGTAAGGGTTTGATATTGTTTCCAATATCCTCCCATAGTCATTTCTGACAACAACCTGGCAATTAAGTCAGACCCATTAGGTTCTTGGGCTTTTCAGCCTCGAAAAAGAGAAAGGCTGTGGAGAGACCTAATTGTGGCCTTCCAGTGTTTAAAGGGAGTTTATAAACTTGAGGGAAACCAACTTTTTACATGAGTAGATTGCGACAGAACAAGAGGGCATGGTCTTAAATTAGAGAAAGGGAGATTTAATTAGATGTTAGGGGGAAGGAGTTGTTTGTTCATTTTTGTTGTTGTTGTTTTTTGTTTTTAACTGATTTAGTGGTGAAGTGCTGGAACAGGTTGCCCAGAGAGGTTGCGGATGTCTCATCCCTGGAAGTGTTTAAGGCCAGGTTGGATGAGGCCCCATAGGTAATCTGATCTAGTACTTGATCTAGTAGCTGGCAACCCTACCTGTGGCAGGGGGTTGGAACCTGATGATCTGTGAGGTCCCTTCCAACCTAAGCCATTCTATGACCTCCAAATAAACATACTATTCTTTTAGGAGAAGATGAAACATCAAAATTTTATCCAAAAGCATTAAAGCCAACCTTAAATAACCAGTAAAAAGAATGCTAGGATCTCTTCCTATAACTGTGAAACAAGAGTTTCAGAAGTTGTAATTACAAGTCTTTTCACATTTGGTGAAAGCTGATCTTAAAGTTCTATTCATACCCTAACGCCCACACCACAATGGGAGGAAAACAGAACAATTGAAAAGAAAACTAACCAGTTTTGTTTTTAAGTTGTTGTTAAGCTGTGAATGGAATTTAAATATCACATTAAAAACAGATGGATATAAGCACATATGAACTTGTGTAGTAGAAACCTTTTTCCCCTTCTCTATGGAATAGGCTTATGACTAAAGGGCCTTAGTCAGTGTAGTGTTACCAGATATACCTACATTGTTATTAGCCTTTTTAAACCACAGAAACAATGCCAGAAGAACATTTTTTCCTTTACAACTTTTGTTTTGTTTTCACTCCTTATCCTACTGGCAAGAAAACTTGCGCGGATATTGGACTTCTACTCACAGAAGACTGGTGTCCAATTTTTTAAATAGCAATATAGGAAGCCATCTGAATGATGGTGAATCTTCACACAAGCAAATGACACTTTGGATTGCAAGCTGACCTGGGCAATGGGGCTGAGGAATATGATGTGCAAGATCTACACTGTTGTAAGCTTATGCTTTTGCTAACTTAAAATCAACGTATTAAAATATCGTTGTGTAGCTGCAAAATTAGGAGGAACAAATGAATGCTCTCAAATTACATTTACAGTTAAAATGGTATTGATAAAAAACATTCCAGTACCTTTCTGAGCCTAAGATGACCCCACTTCTCTTTATCAATACCTTGATATCGTCCAGGGGTAGAACCAAGCAGATACACTCTATAGAAAGAAAAAAAAATATCTGTAGCTTTACCAGTCAACAGTGGAAATCAAATCAATGGGAAAAGCTACTTTACGTGCAGGAATTCGAAGGTAGTGCACTTCTTAGCAGAAAGCCATGCCTTATATTAGCATCAGAAAAATATCTGCATGAAGTGCTCTGTATAAAGTGAAAATGCCTATTCTTAATATAATCCTCATTATAATATCTTTTGCATAGATATTCCTTATAAAAGAGAAATTATAACAACTCAGACTCTTCTACCAGTAATTTTATGAAGCAAACATCAGACTGACTTAAAAGAAACTTTGCATCTCTATCACTTAAGGAGATCTCTGTCAAGTTACTGATTCAGTTTTTTTCATTTCTTTAAAACATATGCTTTTAAAACTAGAAGTTGATCAATTCAACATGTTTGTGTAAGAGATTCAAATGGAACTCACTATTACAAATAAGAATGACAAAAACAATATGCATACATACTGAAGTGATAATTTACCCACATACAACGATTCAAAACGTCAAACTTAAAAAAAAAACAACCTAGACGTGTTCTACACAAAACACAGAAATCAAACTATTTAAGTAGAACCCAAACTTTATGGGAGTAAATCTGCTTTGGACCACTTCATGCTCTTTAGTTTTCAGAATGAACATATTAGGAAGTCTGTCAGCCCCAGAGAAAACTGCCTAAAGTTAGACTCACATTAGAATACTTAAGTGTGAAACAGACAATTGATCAGTTCTGTAAGATTGCTCTAACAGCTCTTAATTGCAGATTCCATAAGCTCGGGGGGGAAGCATGCAAGTTATTATAAGCATAAGCTGTACCTTGTCTCTGATAAATCATGCTCTCGAATCAGATCTATCCATTCCTTGAGCACAGGAGAATTGTAAGCCATCAAGTAACTTATTAAGTCAGATTTAAAATTAGTTTCAGATTCACCAGCAGAATCAGATGATCCCTGAGGTAGCCTTGGATATAAAGGGCTTAGCCACATTCTAAAAAACAAAGCCACAAAAACAAGGACACCACATGTTATCAAAAGGTTTAAGTGATTAAAGTAGATGTGAAGGAGCTAAAAATAATACTGGACATATTTACTTTACTGCGATGCTACTAACTCTGAAGCAACTTTTCAGATTCACCCAGTTTTCACCCAGTACCACAACACTAGTTATTTCACTTGAAGTCAACCAATTTAAACACACTTATCCATGCAGATGCTTATAGGTTTCACTGCTGTGGAAAAGGCCAGGCTCAGGCATAAAGGTACTCCTCTAAAATCATCAGAAATGCTCCAGTGACTATAAGAACCACAGCCTTCACCTCTCCGCACCCTGAACTCCATGGGGGAGGAGACTTTGCCTACAACGTAACAGACCTTCACACACACACAAGGATTATCATTTATCTATCATTTTATCGGTTCAGCTGATGTTAATATGGTCTAAATGTTTATTTTCCAGTAAAGAAGAGGCCCAAACAGTATTTTCTCAAACATTTTGACACACAGGTTGTCTTAGAAAACAATATATGCGCTCAATTTAATTCACATAGAAAACAGTGAAAACCAGGTGACTAAGCTTTTACTTACGTAAAGTCTGATTTTCAACCTATTTGTTGAAATTAGTGTTTAAAGAGAGGAAAAGTTGTGTATCTAGCACAAACAAGAAAACAGACTAATACAGAACAAGCCATACAGACTCACTATTTAATAGCAGAGAAACAAAAGACCTACTAAAGCCTTGTTGCTTACCCCTGAGTTTTCTGGTGCCAGTCTTCAGCAATAAGATTGGATGTATGTATCACAACTCGAAAACCTTCTTCATATAATAACAACATCATTTTCCTTAAAAATAGGATATATAATATGATTTATTCGAGAGCACAGCTCATCATCTTGCGACGAACCTCCAGAAGCAACCAGGAACTCTTGCAGAACACTTTATTTGCTATGCTCTTTTAAATACACTCACTCCTTTGCAGATACAAGATATCCTCTCACATATTAAAAAAAAATTCTACAAAATGATTAATTGATAAATAAATACTACATTGTCCTGAAACCAAAGATCTTCTCTATAAAGAACATAAGATCTAATCTGTTCTTAGCAGTTACTTGCTATCTACAACATTCCCTTCATGACACTTCCACAATATCAAACCTAAGTTCTGCTTTGAAAAGACTAAAAAGAAATATATTTATCAGTAATTGTTTCCAGACTGCTTACATTAACTCCAAAAACAGAGTTGTAAACCAGTGTTCTGACTGATCTGCTAATGACTGATAAAGCCTGCACTATAGTGTTGGTATTAAGGGATGAGTTATTAACAACTAGTACCTACAGTTCATTGACTCTAGTTGCATAACTGCATAATTGACACTTCATTTGTTTCCTCAAAGGAGAAAAATTTCATCATTTATAAACAGAAAATAAAATAGTAATTTTCTAATAAAAGTCAGTTTTACAGCTTTAAAACAATTTGCACACTGAAATAGACACATACAAAACAAGATAGAGATTATTTTCAAATTTCATCAGTACACATTAGGCATTCTTCAAAATTATGTCTTCACATCCAGTAATTTTCCTGTCCTCTAAATACTTTCAGACATTAAATACCAGTAACTGTGTCATCTTTAAAAGGGAGCTTTCTGCCTCATAAATGTTACTTACGTATGGTGAGTTCCAAATGCAATATCCAGCTTGGCCTATAAAATGAAAGAGTTGATCACTACAAATTAGTTAAAAATTCCTATTGTGTACTTCTAGTATGTAACATTATTATTAAAGAGGGAAGGGTCCTTCACCTTCATTTTGTTTCATTTCACTGCTCTCTAGTGGACAGATCACAAAATACATTATTTTTCCTCAACACCTTTGAAATTTGTCCCTATCACTTGCTAGGAACTAAACTAGCAAGTCTATTGTAAAGGGCATCACATTCAATTCCTGGTGTGCTTGTGAAAAAGACGCTTTGTATGTAAAACCAGGTTTGTTGGTAGCATATTTGAAATCTTAATCTCATCAAAAAATTAGTTGCTAGTCTACTATTTAGCATTAACACACAGTTAGTACAGCACACAGCAGCTCAGAAAACTTAGCCTTGAGAACTCACTAAGTATGGCATTAATACTGCAATTTCCAGTAAGCTCATATTTCCCAGACCATCTGAGAAAAAAAAGGAAGATCAATATCATGTTTTCAAAGAAGATATCCCCATTACCAACTGTGTAGCTCTCCCAGCAAGCTGCTATAACCATATCACTCACTCAGGCTGAAGCCAACAACTTTATGATGGAGGCTATGTGTAATAATATCTTCTTCTTTATGACCTATCTGGACTAAAAATAATTCTTAGATTAAACTTAAGATCACAGTGACGCAAGCATTATGTTCTGTGCCTTCGACAAACAGTATTTCCTTCTCAGCAATACTGGGAATTACAGTGCAATGTGTCAGTGGAGACAGCAGGCACCTCTTCTGTAAACCAAGACATTTTTTGAAGGCAGTAATTCTGTGCAAACTTGTTGTGGGTGGCAGGTGTGCAATTACACACCTTTTAGACCATAGTTTACATGTTCCTATGGTTCTAGCAAGTATATTCCTTAAAGCAAAATAATAAATTCTCAACTTTCCATACAAGGTGTTTCTCCTCTTGCAAGAAGATTGAATAAAATAAATGGCTTAATTTCAACCAAAGGATAACACAAATGTCAGTTACCTGACAGAAGCTAATGTTCTCAAAAGGGCGTGCTTGTGCAAGTAGTTCAGCTTTGGACTCTCTCTTTTCACCATGAACTATCAGCAGTGGCTTCTTCCTGAAATAAAACGAGATTATTACGAAAGCATCAACTGAATTAGTAATCAATCCGAAACAGTCTTTGATGGAGCTATGACTTCTGGTCCCTAAATCCAATGACCTATTAGAAAGATGGCACTAAAGACTATACTAACTACATTAACTACATCTTAATGGTTTCTTCAACAGAAAGACAGAAAATAGGAAAAAAACACAGAGTCTGGATCTATAAGACAATGTTACTTCACAGAGAAGATGTGAAGGAGAAGGCTAGGTCTACTCCAGCAGCAGTTTCACATAATCTGCTCTACTGAATTTTCAGTAAAATGCAAAATAGAAAAGAAAATTCAGTATCATAAGTATACTTCATCTGTGATAAACTGCCATTGTCAGAATGTCATTTAAAGGAAATAAGAGCTGCTTCCACAACAATATACAGCAACTCTACCCATTAAATACCACTCCAATCTCTTTCACACACTTCTCTCATGCTCTTCAACAAAAATTTTCATTCTGTTTTCACAGTTCACCCACTGTTGTCTTGGCCTGCAATGGGGTGACTTAAACATTACCTAATAAAAAGAAACTCAAAACCAGCCATACTGAACTGTCAGCACCTTACACTGACTCATAAAAAGACAATAAATTAGTAGAGAAATATAGTGCAATAAGTGTGGAATATGCCTATACGCACACAAACAAGAAACACTGGTTATCATTGAATTATAAGATGAATTTACATGAACAGAGTGATTTGGAAATTGTATTATTTCATTTCTGTACAAGTAAACATACCTGTATTCCTGTGGATACTGTCTTACGAGCCATGCCACGTCTATACAGTAGTTAAACTTGTACATAAGAAGGAAAATAAGCTCATTAAAAAGAAGTAGCAGTTTGTCAGAACGATCGAGTATGGGGGAAAAAAAGAATACTTTCTACGCATTCATTATCACTTACATTATATAAACGCATAATGATGCTCCATCACACAATGACACTACAAAACTGCAATCAGCATGTTTTAACAGTGGGTTCATTTTTCAATTTCAAATGCTTTCTTTCACATCTCTTCATTCAAGAATAAATTTAAGTTACTCCAAAGCACGTAGTAGCGTTCATAAAGTTTAGAATGCAGACAACACACATAATGTAAAAGCTGAATGCAGTGTTTTGCAAATGCCACATGTTTATACCAAGAACAAAAGCAAAAGCTTCCATTCAGTAACAAAAATCTCATGCTTAGATTGCAAAACACATTGTTTTATCATTCAATTACATGAAGATGCATTTTTCGGTTGCGCATTTCCAGAGCGCAAGAGAGAAAGTAGTTTCACATTTGCTTGACTTCTAAGCAGAACATAGGATCATTTTTATTTTTCAATAAATCAACGTGCTGTTGAAAGCACTCAGGGCTCCCTCAGTACTTTAATGAAGTTCCCTGCTGAAATCAGCTACATGGCAAAAAAATGGATTATCACATACAGGTTTGAGGATTGGGGAAATAAGCAAGCAATGGCAATTTGGCAAATAGAAAACTCACCTGAGCAGAAGATACAAGGGTCCCAAAAAGAGGAGACAAAATATCTATTAAAAACATTAAGACACAATTGAGTATAGAAAGCTTAAGTGAACCTTTTTTGCCTTGAACAGCATGATTACTACAAGTGCTAGATTCACAGACTGAGTGTAACAGACATTGACAAGTTTACTGAGTAGAACATTCAAGTCCCTGGTTCTGCTATGAAATGCTAAGGATTCTATGACTCTATGCTTATTGTCTTACGGTTTTAAACAGCATCACCCCTTTCAAAGCAGAGCACCAAGTTCAAAAACTTACTAGTAGGAAGACCAAGACCAAGTAAAGAAAGGGACAAGCTATTTTCTCCCCTATAGAGGGTCCTGAAGAACTGTGGCAACTTAGAAACAGAAAGGGCATAGTTAATACTTAAAGAGTTACCTGCTGCAGGTCATTTGTGCTAGTACTGACAGCAGTCCTAGAGCTCCTTGCTTTTTTTTTTTTTCCCCTCTCCTTTTCAGGGAAAGAGAAAGGAAGAATACAACTACCCACCGCTTTGACACCCTGTCACTCAGAGATACACAGACCAGAAACTTAACTACACGGGGAAGGCTGCAGGATGATTGCAGGATATGTGTATCCTTAGTCTATTTTATTAATGGGAACATAGAACACTAATCACACTGAGGATTTAAAACCTCATGAACTGAAAGCACAGCTGCAACTACAAAATATATCTGACAAATAGGTTATGAGATACTGTGTCTTTACTAGAACTTCTCTATAGGAACTGTTCTGCAAGTTAAAACAAAGAAATAGCCTCTGTACCAGCTCAAGCAATCGCGTAACAAGATAATTACTCTTATGGAAAGACTGCCCAGAAGCCAGAGTTCACAAGGTAGGTAAAACTGTACAGGAGTAATGCAACCAAGGCCTCAGACACCAGGCTGCCTACAGCCATTGCTGTAGGGGGCACACAAGATTGAGGAACAGTTAGTTAACCAGGCGAGTTGCATGACAAAAACAGATTGAGGATCCACACAAGGAACTACAGAAGTTTCCTACTTCATTTTACTATCTGTGCACAAATCACCTGTTAATGATTGCTTTTGGGCTTGAGGGCTTGTGATGCATTGCTTGAGGGCTTGCAATGCAAGAGGCTTCTCTGAACATAGAGATGGCTACAGATGCACACTGCTTTCTACCCTTATATAAAGTAAAATTAATTTCAGTCACCTGGCATTCCCAAATCACCAGTGTCATACACCATATCCTACTCCACCTCTGACTTACGCTCACTTTCAGTTGCACTGACGCGTGACTGTGAGCTCAAGCCACAGAAACTCACAAGGCAGTACCGTGTACAACATCAAGTAACAGTGACTTACTGGATCCAAACCACTTGGCAGCACAAAGACAAGCACAAACAAGAGGTAACAGAACCAGTTCCTACGATATTCATACCTGGAGTACGAAGCCTCATTTAAACCAAGGAATCTTTGCGTTAAAAAAACCCATAAACTAAAAATTAAGTGTCCACTTGCACACAAGACCCTCCCATCCAAAAGTCCACTTCTGCAAGAGCCACTTCCTCACCTTTTATGTGCAGGGCTCCAGAATTATAGCTCTGCTCAATTCCCCTAACTTTGGTGAGAAAAAACCCAAAAGGGTTCCCTCCACTCAGCAAATCCCAGGTATCTTGGGGTTCACCAGGTGCTTCATTATAGTCCTCTGCTTTCACACCCTTTGAATGTTCATCTTTGCAATGACTCCGAGGTTGCTCTCTGGGTGCATCGCACTTTTCCTCTTTCGGTGTTTCCTTGCTGGCATGCTTCACCTGGTCTTCAGGCTCTTCATCGCTACTAGAAAGGCACCATCCCAAGCCCTCCTGGCCAGGCCTCTGCTTTTCTGCAGGAGGTGTATGCGCAGGGAGACACGTGTCAACAAACTTCAGCGGAGAAGCCTTCCTTTTGTGAGCGGCCCTCCTGGCCTCAGAGCAGAGGTACTGCGGCGCACTCGCTTCACTGCGCTGGGCACACGGCAGCGAGGACGTCGAGGGCTTTTCGCTGTCAGAATTCTCTTCAGTGCTGTCCTCACTGCTAGACACAGTCCACCGCCCGTGGGCGCCTTCCTGAAGCATGTTGCTACAAACGAAGAGACCACACTGTTTCCCTTCCCAGCCTCCACTTGCCTCTTATAATGACCTCCACCCCCCAGATCTGACACGGTCCTCACATACAAAACAATATGCAATAACAACAAAGCTGCTCCCAAGAAACAAAGAAACGCGGGCAACAGAAGCGGCTACCAAGTAGGAAGCAGCTGCACAGGGAAACCTGCAGGTGAGAAACCAGCTCGAGCAAGGACACGTGCAGCAAAGCACTCAGCAGGATTTGCATCACACAGCACTTCTCGCGCTGAACCCAGCGCTCAGAGGCGCAGCCCACACTACTGAGAATGAGAACTCGGAGCACACCCGCCACACCACCACCGCCCGCCTTAACACCGCCCCCGAGGCGGGCAGAACCGCGGCCGGGCGGGGCCAGCAGCAGCAGCAGCAGCGCGCGGGAACCGCGGCCGGCTGAGGGGGCGCGAGATGCCGCCCGGACCGTCGCGGTGGGACTCCAGCCGCCAGTCCCACCCCTCAACAGTAGCAGCCATAGCGACATTACCGGCCCGCACCAAGACTCCACAAGCTCACCGCTCACCCCAGCACCTCTTCGCGCCAGCCTGCGCCCGCCTCTTCCCGTTCCGGAAGGACGGCACCTTCCCCAGGCGCTCTGGCCGGGGACCGAGTTCAGGAGGAGGAGATGAGGGAGGCGGTGCCGCCTTCGCTCCGCCCCGCACAGCGGCGCCGTTGCCGGGCAGCCGCCGCCATGGGTTCGCTGCGGGAGCGCTGCGCCAGGGTGCGTGACGGGGCTGCTGCGGGGTGCGGCGGTGTCCCTGGGAAACGTGGCGTGCGGAGCGGAGCCCTTCCCGCCCCTCCAAGGAGCTCGGGCAGCTCCCGTGTGCCTCTGGTAATTGGTGAAGCTGCCGCGCGTTACCTCACTGAGTTCATACGAAATGCTGGCGTCGGACCCCGTGTTAACTCAGGGCAGGTGCGATATTTACATAATGATTCTTTCAGCTCGGTGTTAATTACCGCAGCGGAAGCGCCCTGCTAATGAGGTAACTGCATGGCAGCTTCAAGGGGAGTGTGGGAGGGAAACAGGTGTAAAATAAGTTAGAGCACGGGCGGCATCAAAGTGTGCTCCATCCAGCAGAGCGAAACGCCACAGCGTGGGGCTGTCGTGCCTCTCTGCTACAGGCTGTGGCTGCAGTTAAACAGCTAAGTACCTGTTATCGTCCCGTGATAAAACAAGTGCAGCTAGAAAGCTGTCTGTGGCGCTTGTACTCGTTTCTGTCTCTTTGTGCTTTACTACAGTTTTGAGGCCATCTAGAAGGAGCAAACTCGGTGTAGTTTGATTCTAGAAATCTGTATTGTATCTCCTAAGTTTGGGTGGGGGGAACCTTTTAGAAGTAGAAAAATATATTTTAAATAATAAAAAAGGCCAAAACGGACTACTCTTAGTCCCTCAGCTACCTTAATGGTAGTTGAATGCAGTTATTACAGAGGTGGGACTAAGCTTCAGTACGTATATTTTTTAATCATTTAGCTCACTCACTAAGTGCTTGTTTTATTTTTCCCATAGCAGTTATTTTAAGTAAAAAATATTGCATTATATTTGTTGTTTTTAATGCAGATCGCTTTGTTTCTGCAGGTTTTTGAAGTGTGTGATGAAGGTAACAAAGGCTATTTGAACAGAGAGGACTTTGAAGTTGCTGTAGTAATGTTGTTTGGTTATAAGCTCTCAGAGGTATGTGTTTTTTCTTCTCTTAAATTCTGAATATCCAGCTTATATAGATGCCTTGCTGTTAAGAATGCTATTTACTAAATGATCTGTGCTAACTGGAGTAGATTGGTCTAGAACTGGTGAACATAAACACCTACAGATTTTTGAAGTATTTTTTTTATCTAGGGAGATTATTTCAAAAGAATGTGATCAAACTTTTCTTGCTGAGAAGTTATTCTGTACACCCTGATGAGCAGAAGTATGCATTGTGTTTCATATCTGTGTGTGACATATGAAAAAAGCGATATATTGGACTTGTTATTGATCAATATTCTAATGAATTCAATGAATTCTAAAGCTTTATGCAATTTCAGAAATTACATTCCTATTCTAGTAAGGTAAGTCATCTCAAAAGCAACATAAAGAATACACACAAAATTCAAAATGTCTGTGAGATTTTTCTCATAGTGTGACAGCACAAACTGGAGCGATATGTTATACTGTAAATCTAGTACAGAAATTATGATTCACCTTTCTTCTGCAGTTTGAGCATTCTTCTTCCCCAGGGACCACTTGTGAATAATTTTATACTTTTTTCTTTCATACGAATTTTCAGAAAATAGCCTAAGACAATCATAGACAACTTTTTGTATATGATCAAATAATGTAAAAATCATATAAATATTTTATTTAACTTTGAAAGGAGTAATCTGTTACATTTCAGTTATGAACAAATGTTTCCCTCATGAACTAGAGTCAGATTTAAAAATAATGTAGGTTACTAAAGTGAATCTTAACTGCTGACTTAATCTGCAAATTCTCAGTTTCCCCTTAGCTGTCTTCCTGTTTAAAAACTTGCTGTTCTTTTTTTACATTCCCTGAATGTTGTGGGGTTTTTTGTTTTGGTTTGTTCTTTTTTTTTCCCAGTAGGTGTTCTGAAAGCACGATTAAGGCATTCAAACAAGAGCAGTTTCTGTGCATAAGTCACTGTTGGTTCCTTTTTGGGAAGAGAGTAGAAGAGAAGGACTCCTAGGAAGAAGGGAGATGTAGGTTTAGTCCTTTCTTCCTGGAAGGGAGCCATGTCACACCTGTTGTGTCTCTAGACAGTGCTGTGAACACCTGGCCATAGATTATTCTATCTGTGCAGCTGCACAAAAATTAATCGAAAACATTTGTTCCAGGAGTTATTCTGTCCTCTGATGATTTTGCTGTTTCCTTAAGTGGTCACAATTCTAGCAGCTGCTGCCCTTTATACAGCAATCACTTACTAAGATGAAATACTAAAAGCCCTGTGTAGACAGATACTTCTCTTCATGGCTCTCTCTAACATACATTAACTACGGCTTATGGCACAGCCATCCCTTTTGCTTTTTCTTACTGGCTAGGCATTGTAAGTGATCTCTTCAATGTTTTAGTGTGTTTTTGGTTGCTTTTATATAGTTTCAAAAAACATAATGCTTTTGGTACGCCAGATAGGGACTAAACGTAGAAGGTGTGGACCTAAAAATTGTTTGGTATCCAGCTCTTGAGTGTATTATTGTGCATTTTTCCATGTTGTCAAAGTTATTGAAATAAAGGATTACAATGAAAATCCTTGTATTTTTTTGGAGTCACTAAAAATAATGACACTTAGAGTACTTCTAACAGCTTTACAAGAAACTGGCAACAGTGGATGTATGTTACTTAAGTTATGGCAAAACCTTTTACTCAACTACCCAGCATGCTAACCTAATTTTTATTTCAGTAGGAGTGGCAGTTATCTAGCATCATCAACTGTAATCAATTGGTTGACTGCACTTTCAGTAATTTGTTGCTATTTTTGGTCATGTTTTCATTTACTCCATAAATTAAAAGTTATGCTGACTTTCCCCACAAGATGTCACCAATGAACTCTACTGAAGGAAGTAGATCCTAAAAAATTGAATCTCATTCCTACTTAGTTTTTTTCTAAATAATTTGTTGAAGTTTGACAGAACTCTTATTTACACATTGTTATTGTGTGTTTATTCAAAGAGATTCCAAACTTTTTGCTCTCAAAATTAGACCTTCTGAGACAGGTAGCTATGAATATATGAAAATGTATTCCCCTAGAATATTTCAACTGATCTAAAGCACTGCCATATTTCAACCCTCATTCAGCTAGTTAAATGCACATTCAGACACTTTCAAATGAAAAGGTACTGCAGGAATAATAGTCATGAGAACATTTTGTTTTCTCAGCTGAAGTTTCATTCCTGGTACTACGTGTTACACTTAGGTCTAAACAGGAGCATTCTCCACTGTGCCTAGGTGTTCAGCGGCCAAGAGGCATCCAGTCCTTTCCCTGACCTAACTCCATCCCTTTACATCAGGACACCTGTGGCTCAGCATTTGCTGCTGATCAAGATGCCAACAGCAGGGTACCTTAGCATCTGGAGTGTGGAAGAGCAGTCTGAGCTCAGAGCTGCTTACAAATTCCAGCTGCTCTTTGGCACATCTTATTAAAGCATTCTAAAAAGAGCTCTCTCATCTATTTGCCCAACTCAGTCTGAAAAAAGCTTTGCAGGCCAAATGGGACATGTAGACTTAGGTTAACTGGACACAGCATGTTTGGCACGTCTGTTCTCCAGAATAGGCTGTACTCAGATTGCAGTAAAAGCTGCCAGCACCTTATCTCTTCCTATGTGAAATGTTTCAGTGTTGCCAGTATGTGCAGTCTTGTATTCTAATAGCATAGATGGAAGAGGGAGCATTCTTGAACACTCGGTCATGCTAAAAAGCAATACAAATACAGCCCAAAAGAGACCACTCATTATTTTTTTTTTTTTAGATATACACACCCTTTTCTTTCCTTAAATTTTTCAAAGACCTTTGCCAGTAACCACTTTGTCAGCTCCAAATACTATTCTAGAAAGTCAGTATCCTCGTATTTATCAGGTCATTTAGCTTTTTGACTTTGTGCTGTTAGTGAATCTTGGCAACACACTAATCTGAATTTTGGTAACATGCTAATCGACATCTGTCATTCCTTTCTTTCTATCAGAAAAATAGTGAGATAAGATCCTATTGAAAGACACTAAAGGATTTATATAATAAGAAAAATGAAAGAGGAATGAATTTGCTTCAGGATAAGTTTTCAAGCTGAATGATGCAAAGTTTTGGGTTTTTTTTTTTCATTTACTGCTTTAGCCTGATTTACCAAATGAATTTGATCAAGAATAGTTTTTAGGAAATACTTCAATCTGAATGCTGAATCAGAAAAGTATTTCCTTGTTTAAAGGAAAAAAAATGTTGGAGGCTGACTCTAGAAATTTATTTTGCACATTACATCCTTTTTGTGTAGTTGAACTCTGGTCTGCATAAACTTAACCATGCCTGTTAAATTATATTTTGTTTAAGGTTAGGATCTTGATGAGGATTTTGTTAGGTTCGTGTCTGCTTTTAGTTTACTTACCAAGGAAGAGCGTGTTTCTCTAAAATTAAAATCAAATCTTTTCTTGCTTAAATAGCACAGGTTAGGGTACTGTAGTATAATATGTACTATTATGAGATCAGTATTTAGTGAAGACACATATTATTGACATAACATTGATATTTGGACCTCATACAGAGTTCAGATTGAGCACTTCTGTAGAAAACCACTGTTGTGTCTCCTCTGTTCCAGGTGGAGGTGGATTCAATAATGTCTTCTGTGAGACCAGAAAATTCAGGTAATATGCAAACATCAATCAATCAATGATCTCTACTCCTTTTTCATTCATTAACTTATAAATAAATAAAATCTGAAGCCTGATCTCTAAAGAGTTTTGAGAAACTTGATGCAGATTAATGATAAATGAGCTGATCATAACTATTAAAGAGGATTATAGGATTTCATTGAGTTTTGGCATATTTCTAGTGCTTTTATGATAAATTTAGCTTAGAATTCACGTTTGAACTTTTTCTTGCTTCTCAGAGTAGCATTTCTTAATATTATACAGATCAGTGATAGAGAAAAGTAATTAGAAAATGTTGGTGTTCAAGCTGATAAGTGTTGAGAAAGGTTTTCATTAAAAATGTTTTTTCTTTTGATACCATTTCACTGTTCATTTGGGCAAATACACGAGTCTTACAGCACGGTTCAATAAATATATCTGTCTGTAGCAACAGCCACTTACCTAGTTCTACTTGTTTTTGTTTTGTTTTTCCTCTTGTCCTCGACCTTATCAGTGGTGCCAGTACCACTGTTTCTGGGGCTGTGCGGTGAATTGTAGTAGCAAACTGATTCATGTGAAAAATAAAAATGTCAAAAATTTGGGTGTTTTTGTCATTAAGTTCCCCTTTCTCATTTGCCATATAATCCCACTTGTATCAGTGCATTTGAAGGGTGTTGTAAAGGCTATCTGTTTATTCTGTGATGTCAAAGCCTATATTCATTAAGCCCTGTCCTTAAGAAGATTTTGCTTCCCCCCTCCCTCCTAAGATAAGATCTGTGTATGAATGCCTGAGTGAAAATTAGTGAACGAATGTATGGAGGTAGACTATGGATCTGTCAATATCTAGATGCTTTGTGTATTTTTTTTTTAAGGTGACCTTTTTGTGTTGAGATACTTTGCAACCCATTCAGTAGCTCATAGATTGCCAACTCTCACGATCAATGAAGAGGCGGCTCTCTATTGTAGGAGTCATTCCATAAAATGAAGAATGTATACTATAATTTTCTGGGCTCATACGTTCCTCTGAAATACCCTGAAAGAGAAAAATAAATAGATGGAAATCCTATATTGCTTTTTATGGTTTCATTTTCCTGTTTATCCAATTGAATGGAAAGCTGTTCATGCGGACAAGTTCAGTGTGTTTTGGCAACCTCTGTTATTAAATGAATTGTGGACATAAAGAGCCTAGCACTTGAAATCAACATGTCTTTGTAATTCTGGAAATTGAGACTATAATAGTTCTTAATGTATGATTTACAAGAAGTGAGGAAAGAAACACCAGAAATCTGTAAGCTTGGAGTTTAAGATTTGAATTGAGACAGCAGGTGGAGCTGAAGGAGCTGTCCCTTTGAATCACTGCAGGAAGAATAGAATGTGAATGAATCAAAAGAAAGAGAAGTGCAGAGCTTTTGTTACATTATTTGATAAACATTCACACCAGATACTGCCACCTTTTTAAGAAAATTCAGCTGTTAAAAAGGAGCATGAGGCATATTTTTAACAGTCTTTCTCATGCTTTCTGAATTGATATGTGCTCTCTTTGCCAAAATAAAACGTGTCGGCCGAAATTTTTGTCAGAAATTTTGCATGTTTCATGAGAAGGCCTAAGGTTGTGGGGGTGTATTTTTGTTTCTTAATATTATATATATTAAAATAAATATAATTTTATTTGATTTTATAATAAATGCTCAGTTAAAACAGGACTTGCAAACGAGATGAGGATTTTATTTCATTTCATTTTTCTATTCATTAAAAAGATAAGATAAATATACAGGTAAATTCATTGGATTAATCACCAATTCATATTTAAGCTTAATTTTATTGTGAATCTCATAGGAATCTGTATCTGATTATTTCAGAGTTCTGTCCCTGCTGGGAATTATGCCAGATACATTGTTTATGCAGCATCTATGGATCTTTATCCTTGGCATGAAAGTTCTATTGACTTAGAAATGTCCACATTTCATTCCAATGCAAAGGAAGATGAGATAACAGATAACTTAGAAGGAAAAATAGAAATAAACTGATGCATTATTTTCAAGTATAGAAAATACATGAGAAAATCTAAAAGATAGTGAAATGTTTGTATGAGCAAACTTTGAAGACCTTTTTTTTCCTTTTTTTTTTTTTTTTTTTTTTTCACTTTATATATAATACAAATTATTCCTAATTATTAGACAGTCATACAAGTTTTTAAGGAGGAAAATAAAACAGTTCTTTTTTCAGGAAGATTTATCTGAACTTCCAATTCTTCTAGGTATATTATTTGAAAAGTTTTTAAATCTCATGAGTGCAAAGAAATCTGCACAACTGTGTAGTGATGAAACAAGAGAAATATTCACAGCTTTTGACATGCAAGGTAAGTTTCTTCTCCTAAATATTTTGAGTGCTAATTCTTAAACAATAAGGTAAAGCAGAACACCTGAAGGAAATAAGAGATTAAAATGGTGTGTGTATGGGAACTGCTGAATCATGGCCTGAACCTCTGATTGATCACCTGAGGTGAGCAATGAGCCAGCCATGGGAGCACAGGTGAGGGCAATTCAGCTGTGCTGCTGGAAGGGGTGGAGCCTGGCTGCACCTCTCCTCGACCTATCTAAGATCTGACCACCCGTGGGGAAGGATCTCTTCTGCAGATGTACTCTGCTGGAGTTTCATAGCGAGCCCAGGGTACGGTAAGCTCTCTATTCTCTTTTGGTATAATAACTGCTTAGCCAAACTCTCTGGTATATTTCATAATTATAACTTCTGTACGTTCATTGGTTATACAGTCATGAATGCTGTCACATGAAGTAAAACATTAACAAAGTAATAAAGACAGCAATGATATTATTATAAGTAAGTCGAAGGTAGTAGACTGCAACATTCTATTTGGAAGCTCTAGTTGTAGTATGAGCTCCTACAAGGCAAATCTCTAAGCTATTCACCCTACCTGTTAACTCTCACTGCCTCAGATGCCCTGTCCCTGGAGACTTTTAAGGTAAGGCTGGATCAGGCCCTGACAACATGATCTGTCTGTGGTGTCCCTGTTTATTGCAGGGGAGTTGGACTAGATGGCCTTTAAAGGTCCATTCCAACTCCAGTGACTTCATCATTTTCTGTTACTTCTAGTCACGTGTCTCCACGCACTTATTTATGCCATGTATTTTAGAGATTTCTGTCTTTGGTGGCTGTAGATATTTCTTTTACATCTTCATGGTAGATGAAGGAATGGAAACCAAAGTAATGTGAATTTTCTCATCTACTTTTTGTGAAGTAGATGTAGCGATTCTTTCTTGCTAGAAAACAAAGAGTAAAACAAGGACTATCTCCCACCACTCTGCTGGAGAAATTCATCAAGAACCTGTCTTTAAATAGACATTAAGACAATCTTTTCTGATTTCTTCCTGACCTGAGATAGGACTATGGCCCTTGAAATGAGTGAAAGTGAAACATATGGTAGATCAGATGTTGGGATGATCAGATAAGCATCCACTGCAGCTTTTTGCTCTGAACTAAAAGTAGCTTTTGAAGTGTTATTTTTAGTGAGTTATTTCAAAGAACTTAACTGCTTCAAGCACTGAGCTTTTGTTTGTCTTGCTATTTGCTGCACGCCATCTGTGATAGCCTGGCTTGAAATGCTTTATTTTCTCGCTGGCTCTGGAAGTGAATTCATAGCCTAAGTGATCAATTGATATCACACTGGTATGTTTCAGGATCTTCAATAGTATTAAACAAAGTTTTTTTTGTGGAAGAAAGTTTTTCTGATATATAATGCTTATAGTGGCTAAGGTGTCAATGAAGATGACAGATTTGGAATGCATTTTCACATATTTTAGAATATAGGTTTTCAAAATCTCACAAGTCTGAAATTTTCAATTTAAAATGCCTACTTTTAAAATGAAAAAATTTAAATGAGACAGTTGTGGATGTTAGACTATTAAATAGAGGTCACAGTGGTGCAAAGGAACTGTCAGGATATATATATGCTCACTCCATATAACCATAGCCGTTCTAAAATATTTTGCAAATAAATTAACTTAGTGTTTAATCATCTCAGAACTGTGAATTGAATAGCCCTATACAAACATAATTGTATGAGTAAGTTTTATAAACCTGTGTTCTTTTTCTCTTGTCTAATTGTGATTTAAAAGATAGAGGATTCTTGACTTTTGAAGACTTTAAGAAAACCTTCAATTCTGTTCTTCCAAAATTATCTGAAAGAATCATAATTGAAGCCTTCAGGTAAGACTAGTAGAGAAATCCTTATTCAGTCTGGATAGCAGTCTTTTCCTTGTATATTTCGGTTAATTGAAGTGATTATATTCTATTGTACAATTGAAGATATGAGCTTCAGCACGTTGTTGTGTTAATGCCTTTAATAATGAATGCAATATATATAAACAATATGCATGTAAATAATATGAGCAACACATAGTAGAAAAATACGTAAAATACATATAATACAATAATATTAAATACAGAAAGTAAACTGTTGACTGAACTGTTTCTCAGGAAGCCTGTTATTACTTACTCTTAAATATTCCTCCTGTAATCACAAAATCTTCATTCGTAAGCTTTAGAATTAAAATTAGTGCACTAGTGAGATCTTTCATAAGGTGAAATTTGCCTGCGGAGTGAGAGGATCAAATTTTGAGAGTGATTTATGGATCATTTTAAAAAAAAAATCAATTTCGTGTAGCAGCTGTAAGTAAATATTACTTCAAAACTATTTTGGAAAACAGTGTGTTCCAAACAATAAAACTTTCTTTTTTTTGTGAAATGAATGACTTGTTTGGAAGTAGCTCAGCCATTGAAAGAGGTCCTTCAATTTTGGAGGCATGGCATTAGGTACCTTTTTTTTTTTTTTAAACTTACTCATGCATATCTGTTACTTTGTGTGTAGTTTTCAAGTATGTATTTGCATGATGAATGTTACCCTTTGTTTGAAAAAAAACATTAACAACCTCTGTAGTCAACTGCAGCGCTTGGAAATCCCTCACTTTGCGAGGGCTGAATGATTTACTTCATTTGGTAGGGCACATATAAACAAGTATCTTCATATTACTCATTAATAACAAAAACAAAGTCATATCGCATCACATAATAAGAAATGAGATTGTAGGCAGTTCAAGCCTGAACTTTATAAGCATGCAATAGATTAAGTGGAAATAATCTCTAAGGGATGAGGTATATTTTCTTGAAAACCAAGTGTTTCTGCTATCACTTTTGGTACACTGCCAAGAAATGAATAGACTTGAGTGCCTACTTTTATGAAGGCCCTAATAACCAATATTTCTGTGAAGTGATTAGAAACTTTCTTGAATATTAAGGCTCTTTGTATAAGAAATTTAAATGTAGTTATTGTTAATGCTGTCATGTTTAATATATTCTTTTCTTTATTTCTCTTATGTGAAGAATTGTCAAATAAATTCAGACATAGCTTCTTATTGCAATATAGCTTTGAATATAGCTGTTTATTTATAGAACTTTCGCTTTAATGGGCATGCTGTCTACAAGGCACGTTAGCTACTGATGGAAGGTTCCATGCATTATTTTCCCATACTTTAAATGAAATGAAACTTTATAAATTAAGTCTGTGTCATAATGGTTTAAAGGAAACGGGAAAGAAGTTAAAGACGTGTAGTACTTAACTTCTCCCCTTACCATACAGAGCAGGGAATTAATTTCTCCTAGGGTGTGATTCTCAACATATACTTTTTCATAAAAATGAAAGCAGGGGTATTTTAGCTGTGCAAGACTCAGGGAGGGGAGAACATCAGTAACACTTGGTACTAAAGAAGAACCACCCCACTGAAGTTGTTCAGGTCAAGTAAATTTGATTTATAGATATCCAAAATGCTCATAATGAGAAATCCATACATCTTATACTGATTTTAATGAGTGTAAGGCTTGAAAATGAAATGCTTGTATTTATCATTCATGTACATTCATGAATACTAAAGCAGTCTTAAAACTTCTTTATATAATATAATAAAGAGTTAAAGAATAATGGATTGTTTTCCTATCTTACCTGTTTAACCGTTAATTTGAAATCTTGTTATGGCTAAAAGGAGACCAGATACATAAAGCCAAATTCTGTTGTTAATAAATTGAAATCTTAGCAGTCTAGTCAAAGAAAAATTACTAATACAAATCTAAAGCTTACATAAAAATAAAATACAGAATACTGTATTAAAGACAAGTCTCAATAATAAAGTTAAATACATCATACACCCTTTGTAATGTCTACTCCTTTCTGGTGTTAGTCCAAGTCTTTCACTACCCCTCTCATGTCCTGTTGTGACAGGTTCCAGGTGGGCAGGGTTGGGTGAATTGCCATTATCCTGTCTTGAGGAGTTTGGAATTCATGTGGATGGATTCTTTTCTCTTGCTCTTATCATCCAGTCATTTCAACACGTCTACTGACATACTTTATGCATTTCCCTTCTCTTCATTTGTCTGCAAACCCATGTTGTATTCAAACTTATTACATGTGGCACATACTATGTTTTAGATACTTGTTCTTTGCTCTCTTTATCCGTAGTGCTGGATTTGTACAGTCCTATGACTGCATTTCTCTGACTCTTGGTGAGTTGTTTGTAATCATGGTCCTCCAGTGTTAGCCTCTGCCCTGCGTCTTAACGTTCCATGCTGTGCTCTTCTGCTGTGAGTAATGTGTCTTATTATGGAAGGTCTCTGCTGTGAAGCTGGGTTGGTATTTCTCTACACCATTATCGTAAACTTATGAATATTTAATTTTACATAGTTTTAAATAGACTGAAGTAACAAGAATTTATTCTATGTTTGTGCTGTATAAACACAAGAACAACAAATTAATTATACTATTCTGACCCTTAGAAGAACTGATGTTAGAGACAAAGCAAGTAGAAAGCTTCAAGCAGGACAGGCAAACTCGGACAATGTCAGAAGAGTTTCAGTTTTCAGGCTTTGTGAACTCAATACATGAGTTTGTGACCTGTTATGTGCTGTATTTATTAGAATGCTGGGCTATGAAACACAGTTACTGCCTCTGCTTTACTTTAACGCTGTATAATGTTAAAAGATGTAGTGAATTAGTATGACTTGGTAATCGAGCTTCAGGTTGGGATGTTAAGTGCTCTATTTTATAAAATACAAAAGATACTTCAATTCAGTAGTGTTTCTAAATATAGTAAGTGGCTTTGGTTATTGGTGTTTTTGTTTTTTTTTAACTGGAATGGGAATAGGCAAAATATACTTTTCATCTCTTACTGTAAAATAATATTTAATGTAGGCATTCTTTCTGATGGATTGTTTTCTTACAAATTTCAGTAGTATACTGCAATTGTTGCTTAAGTTTTACAAAATGTAGGTGAAATTCAGTTTATCTCGATTTTA